ACACGGTTATACAACCGGTATAAGGCTATTGTCACTAAATACCGAACAGTGAGTTGTATTTTTCTTTTTGGTTTATAATAAATATAGTCAATCAACAGAAAGTTTCACAAATTATTATACAAAAAGAAAACTTTAAAAACTTTTACCACCTATTTACTGTAGGTAATTTCATAAATTTTTGTTGTATTTAGTTATCAAAACACCAGTTCTAACAGTAATAACAATAACAACAGCAATAATAAATGTTCAAATATACCGAAAAAATTGATATGATTATATCGCCTTTTTTTTCTCTACAGGTATCATCATGACTATAAAATTTTAATCTTTAAAAATAAGTAAAGTTTAGCCTGCAACAAGTGTTATTTTGGACAAAATGCCTTGTTTTTGTTTAGCCAAACTTTACAGTATAGTGATCTGATTGATAAAATCAATATTTTTATTATAATTTTAAAAAATTACTGCAACTGTATCAATAATTTATTGTATAAAACAAAAATTATTATCTGGAACAGATCAGAAGACGGCAAGTAGCCACTTTGAATGTTGTCAAATGTTTAAAAAATAGCTGCAGATGACTTTTTAAAAAACAAAAAAAACACGCTTAGTAAAAAGCAGTGAAAAACAGCAGTTTTTGCAATTTTGCTAAACCAGTTGTCAGATTTGAAAACTTGAAAACTGATAATTTGATTGAAAAAAGCGAAAGAAAATTAAAGTTTTCTATAAAATATAAAATTTAAATAAACTATTAAAAGTCAAAATTAATCACGAAATTGAAATTGTAGAAAAAAACCTTTTTTGTCCGCTTGAAGGTTACCCAATTTGTTTTTTCTGCTCAAAAAGATGTCGATGACAACAGTTGTATTTATAAATCAAGCAAAGTACATGTTTATTGTTGATAATTTATATAATTTTAAGCCTCTACAGACATTAAATTTCCCACAAATGAAAAGAAAACTTTAATGCACAAAATAAGAAGAGTTTGATGAATATTTTGTTGTAAATTTGATAGCGATCGCATATGATGACAAAGTTAGACTGTAAATTTTCATTACAGATTTAAACAGTTTGTAATTTTATTTTTACAATTGTTCTTTTTTTGTTTAATAAGAATTCTAACAATTTTTTTTTGAAATATTCGTTATTTGATCTTTAAAATTATAGTTCAAATTGAAAAAAAAAAATATCAGATTTTTTATGCTAGTGAATCTGTGGCATAAGATGTAAGTTTTTAGCCCATTTATTTTTGTTTGTGAGATCAATTGGTGCGAAACATTTCATCATTGTTTCCAAATAAAGTGGATGATGACAAAAAGTGGCAGTTGACGACGGTGTCAAACAGCAAAATACATCGGTGAAATTGAATGGAAACAAGAAAGGAGCAAAACTGCAGCTGTCACGGATATATTGCTATTTTCGGACAAAAACAATTAAGAACTATGCGGATACAATTCTGGATCCTTTCGGTATCATCTTTTTTTTTGTTTTGATCGGGAAAACAACAATAAATAAAAACCTGTGTTTTCGCTTTATAATTTTTTAAATCCACGATCTATATAAATGACTACAATAAACTAAAACTGCATTTCATGTCAAAAGCAAATTTTTTTCAGAGTGTTCGGAGTCCTCCGTTTAGAAATAAACTTTTTATTTATTTTCATAAACGTAATAACTAATTCAAAAATATTTACTACTGTCAGCTGCATTATGGTTGTATTCTATTTTACAAAACCTCTTAGCGTTATTTAAAAAAATTTTTTTAATTTTTAATTGAAAATTCTTAAAAAAGTTGCTCTAAAAGCGAAATTTAAGTGAAGCCGAGCAGATAAAACGACCTTTAAAAAACATTAAAAATTACTGAAAAACAACTTTTACTGACTAATTTTCTTACCATTTATACTTCTTTTTATCGTCCTATTTTTATCTGATTATTTTTAAAGACGCGGTAGTTGTTTCAATCCAGCAAATAAAGTGATGTTGAAAATTGTAGGAAAAATGGCGTACGAAAATAGAGACATAGCTGAGGAACTGAAGGACGTTCGTCGCATTGCCTTTTTAGGCGTAACCATTGCCTCAATCGCTACCTTAGTCTGTGTTGTTTCTGTCCCGATTGTCTACAGCTATGCTCAGCAAATCCAGACTGTAATGCAAAATGAAGTTGATTTTTGCAAGTCACGATCAAGCAGCATCTGGAAGGAAGTTACACGCACACAAGTAAAAATTGCTTCTGAAATAACTGACACTTTTGACTAAACTTTAAGCATACTCAGTTTATCCAGAACATCCTTGATGCAATGAAGCAAAGAAAATCTTTCAGGTTTTAGCCAAAGTAAGCAGTCTTCGTAACAAACGTGAAACAGAAGACGAAATAGCAAAATCATGTTGCGGGTGTGGAATTTCACCACCGGGACCACCAGGCCCACCTGGAGACGACGGCAAAGATGGTGAAGAAGGCCCAGAAGGATTTCCCGGTAGAGACGGCTTGAATGGTGAAGGCCCCATGTCACAAAGTCCAGGAGATTACGACTGGTGCTTTGAATGCCCCGATGCACCAGCTGGTCCACCTGGACATCAAGGTCAAAAGGGATCTCCAGGTCATCCAGGAGCTAGCGGAAGCCCAGGAGCACCAGGAGAAGATGGTGTTCTTGGTCCAGAAGGTCCACAGGGTCCTCCAGGACAAGCTGGACCTCCAGGATACCAAGGACCGCCCGGAGAACCAGGCAAACTTGTTGTAGTCGAAGGTCCAGAAGGACCAGAAGGTCTCGCAGGACCGGAAGGTGCTCCAGGTCCACAAGGACCAGACGGTGAGCCAGGAAAGGATGGCCAAGCAGGGCCGCAAGGACCTCGAGGAGATGCTGGAGAAATTGGAGAACCAGGAAGGCCTGGTGCAGAAGGAAGTCCGGGAGAGGAGGGACTGGAGGGCATACCGGGAGCTTGCGACCATTGCTCTCCTCCAAGAACTTCACCAGGATATTAACTTAGTGTTGTTAGTTGAGTCTTTGTTTCCCGCATTAGTTATTTACGTTACTGATTTTTTTGCAGAAAAAAGTTTTTTCCGATCTACATTATAATGTCGGTGATTCCTGAAACACAGGACCCATATTACTTTGTGATATTGTGCTTAAAGTGTTTTGTGATTGGGTGAGTCACTGAGCACTGTACTGTTAATATTATTGATTCTTTCATAGAGGCGGTCAGAGTTCCTCAAACAAAAACTATTGTCTATGACTATGGTAAAGAAAAATAAATGCTATTTTCCGCTAGTTTAGTATCGTTTTGCATAATAAAAACTTCATCTCGTAAGCAAAAGTTTTTTTGTAGTGCTTGGGAAAATAATGACAGTAGAGTGAACATAATTGGATAGCGTTAACGCTACTAATGACAATTTTCAAAAGCTAATTTTGGAAGAATTTTAATTTTACTTTTGAGTAATAATAGCACTGCGGTTTACTGTGTGGATAATACCACCTTCTGAGATATAATCAATAAAGCGAAAGACACTGTGAATGTTTTAAATTAAAAATGTATGATTGAACAAAAAACGTCTTTCAAAAACTGCATAATAAAATCATGAAATTGTCATATTTACCAAAGAAGCTCGTTTACCCACAGACTAAAACTTTTGTGCTTCATTAAAAGAAAAGTAACAGCTATTTTTCAGGTAAGAACAGTAGTTTACAAAAAGAATAGTACTATTTGATTTCTAAAGTAACTAACAGTGATCGTAGTAGCAAAAATTTCTTTATAGTATCGCAAAGGGTATAGTTTTGTGTCATCTACCAGTCGCAGCTCTTTTACCAAATAGAATCTGATATGCAATTAAGTGGTTTAATTTTTTATCTCATTAACTCTTTATGTAATTTCTTTCTTAGCCAGTATAGCTCCACGTTTGCCTTAAATTTTTCACTTCAAATGATGCACTAATATGAAGGGTTTCAAACGTATAAATTCCATTTTCACTGCAACATACATCTAAATTTTTGTGACACTTCAACTCTACCAGCTCTCAGAAATGAAGCAACAATGACGAACAACGTTTTAAATTATTCAAAAGACAAATCTGTCACTAATCTTTAAGTACAAAAATCTTTAATAGAAAACAAATTAAAAGAGCTGCATTTACTTTTATTGATCTGTAAAAACCCGAAAATAAGCTGAAAAATTTTATGTAAGATAATAAAATAAGAAAAAAAAATATTCATCTTTATGGTTGCAGTTCAAGGTCAACAAATGCAATCAAATACAAACGCGAAACAAATCTGTCATGTAACTCTTAAACCTAAAAGCAGATTTCTTCACACCTCTAAAAACTCAATTTTTAATTAATATTTAGGAAAAAACAAAGGCTAAACAAAAAAATTCGCATTTTAACAAATTCAAGCAGATACAGTGCTACAAGAAAATAATTTTCAAAGAGCAATCTGAAAAAGGCAAGTATATCCCTGTGGTAAAATAGTGTCATGACGGCTGCAGTTTTCATTTTGAGGCAGCAGAACTTGGCCATATTGGTCTAAATCGGTCTTTAAAATAAAATAGTATAACGGAGAAATGAAGTGCCACTTCTGACGGTACAAAAACCGAAGCAATCGTTGTTGTCAAAGTTTGGAAGACATCGGCTTTAAACATCGGCTTCAAAAGTTGTTTTCAGTGGCATGCTGCTTACAACTGCTGGTATAATAAAAGAAAATACTGTCAAAAATGTTACTTTTTCTTGAAACTTGAAAGTCTGTGACTTTGAAGTATCCAAAAGTTATTGTAATCGTTTATTGCGCTACACATTACGAGAAATTCGTAAATCTGTAACCGCTATATAAGAAACAGATTTTGTTTGTATTTTCATGATCTTTAGATTAGAATTGTTTTGGCAGTAAATTTTTAGCAGCACAAATAAAAATTTCTGTTAAAAGAGCAACGAGAGATGTAAAATCATTTCGAGTCAAAAAAACCAGTGACAGAACTTCAACGATATGTTTTAAAACTGTAAGGTGGTATATTTTAAAATAATTTTAATATATATAACTGATTATATTGAAACGACTAATGTCAACGCCTTCGCTCTATGTTTATATACAACACAAGCAATCGGTTATGCGGAGTAAGACCTAGTTCTGTAAAACATGGAATTATCTGTGAAATTATTATAGAAAGATTCTTCTCATATGAATGTTTCGCGTTCTTTTTTCAGAATTAATACTCAGAGGAAACCATCATTACTCATCCACCGGTCCTGCTCAGAAGAAGATTTACCTGGCAATCGGAAAAAGATAGAATAAGTGAGCGATGAATGTGACCTTCAAGGTGACATTTACTGTTCCTCCTAATTCATTGCAGAGTTTGTCTTTCAGAGCTGCCGAGAAGAGCTGAGCAGGAGACAAAGGTAGGGAGTGCAAAGTTTAAAAATTGTCTTTTACAAATCGTACCAGTAAAAAGCTACGTTTTTGGTAGAGGTTGAGACTGAATAAATAGCATTTTAACCGTGCTGGAATGAAAAAGAGAGCTCTT